TAACTAGACGTGAGTTGTCTACACACTTATTCTCACATCTGAAATCTATCAGGTAGGTTTGGTAATCCAGTATTCACCTGCCAAGCATGGAGTTCTTGCAATGAGCAATACTTTTAAGTCTTTTAATACTGGAGACTATTCAAATATATGTAGATTACGGTAATCTTTTTCACAGGAAAAATGTTTCAGTTTCCTCTATAGGAAGACTGTTACATGATCTTCTACTTTAAATTTATTTGCATTTTTTTCTACCCCTCCCTCACTTAATTTTTTTCCTGAACAAAATTATAGGCATTCTGCAAAATTAAGGTTAAAAATAAAAAAATAAAGGTAGGAGCATCACACTGAAGAAGGTCACTTTCAATTTTGCTACCATCTTTATTGTGGGGAAAAAGTAACTAAGCCTTTGACATTTTAGATTTTTTTTTTCACTTAAGAGTTAAGGGATTTTTTTTTTTAATTCATCATTTTTTCTGTGTATAATCCGATTTAATTTTTCAGTATAATTGTAATGAATTATAGACAAACATATTATCTCCAATAGAAGAAGAAATGGTAAGTGGGGTAAAGTGGAAGTTCTTCATATTTTTTAAGTCACTATAAATTTCAATTTGTCTGCCCCAGTTATTTGTTGGGCATATGATGCAGAGGTCTTTGCTGCAAAACATTCTTAACCCTCTCTAGAAATGCAAAGTTTCCTTCATGTTGAAATGGGCCGGCCCCTTTGACACCCATTGGGTCTGCCCAATATAGATCAGTCTGCCCAGATGAGAGAAAAAACAAACAAAAGCCCATTTACAGGTACCCATGGGTTGTCCATCTTCTCCTTGACCTCTGCAGCACTGAGACAATCTTAACTGCTTAAGTAGATCCCTCAGTTCATAAGATGACTTTGAAAAGTTTTGTGGCTGTTTCAGCATAAAAGCATGGCTCTGTGGATCTGATGGTAGGAATGTCACCTTAAACTGGTTTGGGCAATGATGCTATTATTCCTTCATTTGACGAACGGTGGTTGAAATTGTAAGTGAATGTTTTCCGCATAGATGGTAGGGAGTACAGCTGCTGCCTTGAGAAAAAATCAAAATCTTTCACTTCCAAAATATCTTTATAAATCCATATAAATGTATTTTTCATGCTGTGTTCCTGGGAATAGTTAAGCCCAGAGTTAGTAGTAGAGTTGCTGAAATATTGCAGTGAGAGCTGTCATCAACCTCTTCTTAGTGTTTGGGTAACTTTGGCACCTGCAGTCTTGAGATTTTGAAGCTTGCAAACTCAACTCAACCTCTGTCTGAATGCAGTCTGAGCTACTCCTTCAGAGATTTGCACCTCTGACAGGCAGTTCTGTTGAGACTGGCAACAAACCTGCTAATTTTTACCAGTTGTGGCAGATTGTTTCAATGTTTCTTATGCTTAATATAAAGATAGTATGCTTAAATGCATGGATTTTCATGTTCAAAGCCACTGAAACTTTCCTCACTGGTAAAATCATGTATTCACTCTACTTTTCCTTAAATGCTTCCAGGTTACCTGAACACACAATTGCACTGCAGCTCTGTTTAGGTTATTAATTCCCTTCTGTCTGAAAGCCCTTGAGATGTCCAGCCATGCTTTTCCCTGGTCCTGAAATATCTAGAGCACTTCTTGATATTATCAGTGGGCTGCACACAGAGCTGGGCTCCATTCCTTATTTCGCTGTTCGTGTAAAAGGCTTGCAGAAATGCCTAGATGTGGACAAGCATGACAGCAGAATGATGGCAATCCCTGGCTGGCCAGTGGCCCCTCAGGACACTGCTACCATCCAGCATAATACAGAGCAGCCAGTAAGAACTCCTGTCTGTTTTGGGTATGAAGGCAGAAGAAAGGGAACATATGACTTTCTTCTACAACTTACTGCCCTGTAAAAGGATTTTAAAGAATCTTTGGGGAAAAATTTAGGCCTCAGATGCACATATGTGGACCTCGTTGATTTCATAGGAGGGCATGCGAGTGTGTACAATAACAGACAAAATATTCCTTTTGATCTTTAAGAGAAATTAATATAAAACATGGAAATACACTACTGTGTAATAAGATATTTTTTACTATTTTGTTAAAAATACTCCCCAAGCTCAAATACAAAACAATGTAGCATTCCAGGCCATGGTCTTTTAATGGTGTATCTTCGCCAATGCTTGTCACCTTTGATGCTGTTTGTAAATTTCTTTGGCTGTTATGCTTTGAACTTCAGTAAAACATTTGTACTTAATAAAATAACAAGACCAAGCACTTTCCTATCTTCATATCTGTCTGTGCTTGAGAATGGCACTGTAATTGGAAGAGAAAGGAGAAATAGTTGTCCTGACTATCTGCAGGGACTTCCCTATGACCAGGTCTTTTCTACTGCCACACAAGACACAACTGTGATGGCTAAGCGCTCATTCCATAAGCCTGCAAGCACAGAGCATTTCAGCACGTGCTTACACTTATGAGCATATGGGTTGCCAAATGCCCCTTGTAGCTAATACCTTGAAGAGTGTGATGGATTAAAAACCTCTGCGGACATAGACTTTGCAAGGGCATGCAAGACTAACAGCTTGAAGCTGTCAAATATACAGGTCTATCTACACCTTGAAACTGCTATAGCTACATCTACCTGTGAATGGCTGGTAACAAAATGCAATGAACCTCAGTTGAGGGTGTCTTTGCTTTCTTTTTGCCCACCTGAAATTCCCAGAGTGTTGAACTGCCAGATGTATTCACTGTGAAATCTGAAGCAGCTTCTGCCTGGAAAGGTTCCCATAAAATAGAAAAACAAGTCCATGAGTGAGCAAGTGGCATTGAACAGTCTGTCTGCAACAGGTTCTTAGAAGGAACAGCAAACTTTTATCAAAAGTTTTTCTTCACCAGGGAAACAACACAATGTGCCTTTTGAAGAGGAAACTAGCATAAAGTCTTTTCAGTTCTCTATTGCTTTGTTAAATTGCAAATAAAAGGGAGATAAACTGTAGGAGTCACTTTGTCAAGGAAACAGTCTTGGGTGAATAGAAGGATCGTTGTTTCATCTCAGGACAAGAATTTACATGTTTCCTTTTGAAGTGAGCTGTGGTCTTGTTCCCTGCTCCTGAGTCTGTCAGTTATACAAGAGACCTTTCTCCTGAAGGGTTTCCATAAGTCTTCCCAACGTAAGACTGGTTTTGTTCCAGCTTTCGTGCTTGAGCATCTGCATCTTTCTGACTGAAGTGGTCTGTAGGTGATCACTTTCAGGCAGAAACTGAATCTAGAACCTTTCCATCTGATGCTCTAGCTGAGATTTTAAGAAGTTGTGAACAATGGAGGGGAAGATAATAACATCCCTGTTATAACAATGAATGCAGCCCTGGCCATAAGTGGTACTTGTATTTTAGAAATAATAAATATGTATGTATCTTTGGCAGTATTTATATTGTGCTGATTCTCTGAATCCAATGGACTGAATATTTTTTGGTATTAAGCTTCATAGATTACAGCTGAAGTAATAATATTCTATGAAAAGCCATTTAACTCAATCAGTTTTGATTGTAGTTTTATTGCTTAGTTGATTGTATCAGATGCTATTTGTTCTATCCAGATTCACACCTATAAAACATTTAATATTATTTTTTGTGACTCTAATTTGGTGAGGAAAATGACTTTTTTGTCCCCCTCCCCATCTCTTCAAAGAGTACTGCCTGTAAAAAAAAAAAAATTCCAAAACAAACAAAAAACCAATCCCCAGAAACCCACCACAAACACCAAAACTCTGTTTTTTCAGGTCTTGTTAGATTATTAGAAAATACTTATTTTGCAGAAGATAGCTACTGATGTCGAAGTGGGGAACAAAATACTATTACTAATAGAAAAGTATTGACATAGCTGGAGATCAGGTACTCCTTAGCACCTATCCACTGTCCCCTTTGTAGCAGGGAGATATGCCTGCAGTGCTCTGGGGAAGAGAGCAGCTGAAGCTAAAACACTCTCCATATAATGCTGTATTACAAGGAACCTTTTCAGTGTGTTAATGCAGTAAAATCCCTGTTATCTGAATTCCATATTCTTCAATTACCGTAACTTATGATTCAGATAAATGAGAATCACCAAGATATAAACTTGCAGAGTTTATTAACTCACTGGATATTAATCTCTTCCTAGTATTATTTATATAATCTGCAGCATGATCTGGCACATAAGCACAGCAGGTTTAGTTTAGTTTAGTTTACAAATTCTGTGCAAATTGCCTCTTGCACCAAAAAATTCATTCAAGTTAGACCTCAGGGTATAAATCTGAATTTATGTTAACCAGGCTTCTTATGTTTGAGTTGGTAAGTATATCCTAACATAGTCATCAGAAAAAAGGATAGTCAGTACGGAAATGAAAAAAAAATTATCTGTATTGCAGCACACATAGAAGTGGAGATAGGATCTACTTTCATTCTTTTCCAGCTGCAGGAAGATTCTAGATAGAATTTTGGATTGCTTCTTTCTTCTGTTTATAGTAGCAGAATGGAGTAGAGAAAGTCTTGGGGCAACTGATGCCCTATGGTTAATTGATTGAAGTAGATGCAGATAGATTATTTGTGAATTTTGTTCCTGGTACTACAAGCAAGAGAGGATGCTGAAGGTAGCTTTTCTAAGCATCAGAAGTGCAGATAAAGTTTATTGTTCTGTAGGATGGCTTAGTTGGATGTAGAGCTGCTCCTTTAAGATTAGGCCAGCCTGGTTAAATAAGGGTATACATTAAACACTTCAATCTACAGCTTCTACCTGCCTTTATGTGAGGCATTTGGTTGGTGCTGAACGCTTATTTAATTTTGGGCTTAGCCTGTGCACGCAGCTGAAGTTTATCTAAGCTTATTTCCTCCTTAAGGAAAATGTGAATACTTGAATCCAGAATGCCTCACCCTCTTTTTGGTGCTCTGCTACCTTCCTTCTGACTGTCAGGGGTGGGAAAGGCCACAGGTACTGCCCCTCTGTAGAATAGGTAAATTAGATATGTTTGTTTTTAGGTGGAAGAAAAGTGTCATCCAATCCTGCTATTCATTTTGATGCTCAAAGATGACATAAAAGCTGCATGTCAGGGAGGAATGGCCATTGAGAAGGAAGAAAGCAGCCCTGCACTCCTCTGTGATTGGGACTGACTGTGTTGTTGCTGGGTGGATGCTGCGTAATGCTGTTGCTGCTCCTGCTCCAGCACCGTGATGTTTCTGTTCCAGACTGTGCTGACTCACATTCAAGAAAAAATGATACATAAACACAATGCACTGTAACTCTTTTCCTTTCCCTCAGTAACCTCGGTAAGTGTTTGGTTTCTTTTTCCTCTCTTTGGCTAGTGTGGTGCTAAAACAGCTTTATAGTTAGAACTAATAGGAGGGGGAAAGGCAACCTTGTAAACAAACTGGTAGCAGAGAGATTAATCATGGAGAGGGCATTTAAATACAACCTGCTGTTTGTGGTACATCCACCTCTCTCTAAAGCTGATCAATCCTGATAACTCGCCTGTCTCTACAAACTACACTTCTTAAATGGGAGAAGTGCTTACAGTGCCCATTTACAACTGTATTCTGTTTAATTAGTCAGCACAGCCAGTGCTGCAGGGATAGATCACTTGCCTTTAAAGATTTGAGAATGTTAATAGTACAGTATATCATTTTAATTATTATTGGATTAATGTTGTGTCTCGAAGAACATCTAATGCAAATCACAAGAAATGGCCTGAAGTGACCCAAAGGTTGTGCTTTATTAGAAAAGTAATAGGTCCATTGCTTAAACATAAAGAGAGGTTCTTTCTTCAAATGTCACTGCACTGGGTTTCTCCGTATGTGTATGTAGAAATGAAATCCTTTTGCTTCCACCTTTGTCCACAGAAAGTTTCTGTAGCTCATGGTTTAAATGGCTGAGACAATAGCTGTAATACCAAGAGATGAAGAGGACATCCAAAATAATTGTGAAGATGAAGATCGATTTCCGAATCATGATACTGTTACGGCATCCCTTGGTTGCTCTGCCAGCCCTTCATTAGCCAGCCTTAATGAAGACAGGGCAAGCTCAGCGGGGCCAGAAAGACTGTCTGTCCTCTCCAGCAAGGCCGTGACCCTGGTAAAAGCCCTGACTGGCCCAGAGATGGTTAGTGGTGGCCAGAACCAGAGAACAGCCTCTGGGCTGGCTGAGCATCATATGACAGCTGTAGACGTATCATTGGGTGACTCGTTGTACCCTGTGGTAGTCAGTAACCTGCAGCCTGTGGACATTGCCTCCCTGTGCTCCAAAAGCTCCTTCTGCGATGGTGAATTGAATTCAGAAGTGCTTCAGGTCCCAAGGGTGCTCTGTGAAGCCAGTGAATCCCCACAGGTTGGGACTGACCAAAAGGACTGCCACACACAGCAGGAAGGAAGCGGCACCAAGGGCAATACGGTCTCTTGTAGTCTGGGCCATGTGATTTGGATGAAGACCACAACAGTAATGGAGACCTTAGAAAACAAGAAACAAGAGGAAAAGGAGAAGTACCGGCTCCAACTAGCTATGTACCGACGGCTTCTGCTGTTGCGCTCCATCAGGAGTTTGCATAGGCAGCTGGAGCAGCAGCAGGCCAGGTTGAAGGAATGCTATGGCATGGTAATAAATACCAAGAAAGAAGTGTTGAAACACATCTGCTCAGCCTCGCCCTCACCTTCGCCATAATCATGTTGCTGCATGCAAAAATGAGCTTTGCAATGCCACCGGAGCCGCCAGCAAGCTTGCATGCTACCGGGGTGGTGTCCTCATACCCAAGGGTATGTGCCCATGTGCGCTCAGAGTAGAGAGGAAACAGCAACAGCAGCAGAGCAAGAAGAGAGGAGAGAAGGGGAAGTGTGGGCCCCCGAATTTATCTAGAGGAAACCAGAGCAAGATTGAACCTGTGCGAGAAGTTGACTCCTGATGAACACTCAAAGCCTCAAGCTGAAATAGAATTTTTTTGGCATATAGGTTTGCAAAAAGAAAAAAAATCATCACAAAACTGGGAACCTAGTCTGACACCTGATCCATAAAGGTGGTCAGATGCAGGGTTGCTACCTGCTGAATATGTGATCTGGTGCATCTCCCTTCTACTTTCAGCACTAACAAAACTTGAACAGAATTAGGATTTGCTTTCCTGCAAGAATACCTGAATTTAGAAAGTCCGGATATTTGAAACACTAAAACTCAGTCTCAACCCTATCTACCTAGCTGCCTGTTTTTCACAAATCGTGAAGGCCATTGTACAATTGCAACCTCTATTTTCCTTTAAAATTTATTCGGACCACCCAGAAATTATTATGGGAAGGTAGGACAGTTGCACACAGAGGGAAACAGTACAACTGCCTAAGCCAGATTTCCTCAGGAAAGCAAGGTAAAAACAAAGGCCTTGTAATCTAATGTTGCATTGGAAACCCAGGCTGGCAGTGCCAGGGGAATGTTTGAGGTCTGCACAATTATTAATCTGCTGCTAACTCCCAGTAGCACTAGCATCTGCAAATCAAGCATATTTTGTGCCTTACTGCTGTCATTTAATGGAAGTTGGTGACAATTAGCACTTTTTATCCAGGTGTATTAGACATGTGGAAAACCCTGGAGCACTGCTTCTCCAATTGTAAGGTTAGGATGCCTGCAGGGAATTTGATGTCAGTATGCAACAAACACACAGGGAAAATGAAAGCAAAAATATGCAACTTTTTTGTATGCATTTAAAAGGCAATGTGTGTACCTGTTATGGAACAGCAAAATTGAATAATTGAATGTACTGTTTCAGGATCTGAAGCAAAAAGGGGTTCAAGAAGAAAAGGTACAAAAAAGTTTCCTTTTCTAGGATTTAAAGTAGTATGGAAAAAAAATCTCATTTTCTTTAGATGTTTATTTCTGATCATGCCACCTTTCCTTTTCCTGGGTGTTTTTCTCTTTTAATAATAGTTTAAGTAGATGAACAGTCAACATTTTTTTTGTTTTCTTTCTTTTTTTTCTCCTGCATTAAAAGGCAAGCCTATTATTAATATTCCTACCTTTCTAGAATAATGTGCTATGCATAGGAAACCTTTTATTCTCACCTTTTTTCTCAGTGCATATGGGAAAGGGGTGTTGGTCTGTGCATGCACACACACCTCCCTGTATTCAAGAGGTTATGAAAGGTTGGTGTTTCTTTTTTTTTCTGTAACAGAAGAAGGAATAATGTCTCAAAATAATCTCTGCTGTCTATGAGGAGTTTGGTTGATTAGATTCACATACACACATCTGTGAGCAAGGTATTGAAGTAATTCAACAAATGAAGTGCAGCACAACATTGTCATTATTCCGTCTTTGTATTTCTGCGCACCCAAAATTATGGAAGCCCCCTGGGTATGCACAACCTTAGATAGGTTCATTCATCTCCTTGGGCCCTTATGTAGCCTCTCACGCAGCGTGAACTAGTAACTTTGAATGCAGAATTACCATAGAAACATCCTTGGCATCAAGGAGATATTTGAAGGAGCATCCTCTCTGCCTCATTTGGGGACTTCAGGTTGCCAGAGGCCTTTAGTGGGCTACAGAGGAGAGCTGGGGGTTGCATGTGACTGGGAAACATTACTCCTGAGCTCTGATCCCATCTAGCTCTCTGCTCAGCCTTGGGAAAGATGTTCTCTCTCAGCAATGCAGGTTTCCCAAAGAGTGCTTAAATACCAAACTCATCTCAAAGGTAACCTGTTCTTTCTTAACGTACCTCTCAAAAAGGAATGTTGATCATGGCCAACAGGGCTATGTAAAAATTCTTTTATTTCCACCCTCACCCCCCCACCCCCACCAATTCATGAACTACAAAAATCTTTTTGTCATTGGTTAAGAATGAATGTTATGTGAACCAAACACAAGCAAACCACTATTATGTCATCTCTCCTGGAGAAAAAAATGTTGGAGAAGGATCATATCTCAAAAATGTTACTGTATTTTGAAACCAAATATCAAATTGTTTCCCTTAGGAAGACAGTCAAAATGAATATTGTTGTTAATGTTGGTCAACTTTTTTTAGACTGAAAAAATTATCTTCTAAATTACATTCAGGTTGACTGATACTATCATGTAACTTTCCACTGAAATAAAATAGATGAATAAAAATATATTAAAAAAAAAAAAAAGAACAAACAACCAAAAATACCCAAACAAACCTACAAAACACCCTGGTAAGACAAAGTCACTGTTTTACCTCAGTAGCTGCTGAAGTACAGTATTGTTCTGCATTTGTTGCAAGAATGCCCTTCATTACTGCTTAGAGCTACCTAGAGTGTCAGATTTGCATTTAAGAGTGGCTAGAATAACATTAAAAAATACTTCTCACATAACACCCACTGCAGCCACAGTTAGTCTGTCAACCTGTCCAATTGTAAATTCTTTGTGGTAGAACTGTGACAATCTTTGTTTTGTACATTTCATAAAATTTCTTGATCAGTAGATGATTCCTGCTTTATGAGATTTGTGCATGAGCAATGCTGTCTGATAGCTGGCAGGAAAATGAAGCCAAGACTTATTCTGTGCATGCTCATTCTTTCCAACTAGTACATTTATGGCTACATGCAAAATAAATGTTAACTGAGGAAATACCATCGGTCTTTGCAACAATTTGCTGTTTAGCTGGTGTTTCTAGTGTGGTCACCTACTAGTAGGTGAAGTTAGACAAATCAATTAAACGCAATATGATTTTTAAAATGAATTTGTTTTAGTAACTTGGAAAGTGTTGCTATGTTTTTTTACTTGGATGATTTTGTATGCTTTGGAAGTTGAAGATCAGTGAGAAAGTGACAGAATGCCATGGGTAACTCATGGAGGTGGTTTCAGGCACACCAGAGAGAGCAATAGTCTTAGATTTAATAAAATTCTGTCCTCTTAAATTGTTCAACCTCCTTATGCGTTTAAAGAGGTTTGGTAGTTTGGGTGAGGTTCAACTAAATTTCTCAAAATTTGTATTTTTATCTAAACTCAACTCACAAATCTTGGGTACTGATGACAAAATAAGTGTTTCTGGTAGGGCCTTTCTCCCCACTATCTCTTCTGTCTTTCAGAGCTGTCAAAATAACGATGTCCATGATAAATCTTTTCTGCAACTTGACAGTTATGCTACCTACTTTTACAGCAAAGCTTGAATTTAAATGATGTTGCCTGAACCTTAAGGTTCTGCTGCTCACCTAATTCTGAAATGGCAGAAAATAATAATGGGTTTACTGCGAAAGGTTGGGATATTTAAAAGGTGTCAGCTCTCCTGGAATACTTGCTACCACTAAAAAGTTGTTGCTTATGCCTACCTAAAACCAGAAATCTTCAAGAATGGAGTTATGGACAACTAAGTGACAACATGCATTACTGACATGCTCTTTAACAAGGTACTTTTCTTCTGCATCTCCAGCATTTCAGTTAGCTAAACTAAACTGCTACCCTGGAGACTCTTCTGAACTGTGTTTTTACTGTTTTTGTTGTTGATGGCAATGAGTCAGACAAGATAAACAGCCCACCTTAAAATGTTCACTTATTACCTCTTGTGATGGAGCTCTGCAAGGGATTAGTTCAATTTCTCCTTCCTGAGATTTTCTTGTGTGTCTATCACATTCCCTTATTAGGAAAGTGAAGATTTTACCAATTTATAGTAAATTTATGATATTGTGGTCAACTTTTGAACCATGCAATATTAAATGTGGATCACCGTGCATTGTTCTTGAAACAATGAAAATTACAGACTCTGTGCAAAAGCATACAAATGATGGATTTAAAGATGAGGTTGTTTAAATCATCTCTAGATCAAGTAGACTTGGGAAAACCTTTAGAGTCCTTGTTACAGTTTATTTCTATAAATGTTATAAATCTACAATATAAATGCATTGGAGAGCACCTTTTGTTTATGGCTGTTGAAAGAAGTGCGGTAATGCAAAGGCAGGCTCGGGATATTCTTGAATGGGACCCTGCTCCAAATGCAATGAGTAAGGAGTAAATGTTCCTTTTTCCTAAAGCTCATGGATTTGGATGAACATGATCGCCAAAAACCTGGAAGGCAAATGGATAGTGAGAGTGACTGGAACTACAAGGAAAGATGTTTCAGGGTTTGACTTTTAATGCAGAATGAAGAATTACACACTGCACAGTTGTTTGGGGTTTTTTTTTCCAATTAAAGATGACCTTTTCTTTTCCTTGCTCCTGAAAAAAGTCTTTTGGATCATTAGGTTAGATGCATGCTAAGGGTTGTTTGTGTAACTGCAGTACATAGGAGTTGATACCTGTTTCTGAAGTTGAGTGACAGTAGTTATTGTTGCCAAAATTTACACATACAACTTACACCCAGACCTAGTTTCTCTCTAAATTTTATCATACTGAAGTTGAATGTCCTGCTGACTTTCAATCACACTTGAATCCAGGCCAGGAGTTAGAGGTGGTATGCCTTGTTCAACTCCCTTCTCAATTTTGATTAATTTCTATCATCTCCTGGTGTCTTCAAACAATGTCTTGTATGGTACTAATCTTTGTCTTTCTGGCAAAATGTTTGGAAGACTCGGGAGAAGAGGAAAAAGGCCTTCCTATCAGTCTCTTGTGCTACTGCAGAAAGGGGAAGTAGATTTTTTTTTTTTTAATTTAGTGAAAACTTGAAGCAGGGGAGGTTGTCCTATGAAAACACTTTTGGAGTATTTACTTAAATGCCTTGAAAATGTAATGTTTCCTACAGCTTCAAGTAAGTTTCCCTAATTGTATTGTTCATCTTCTCACAGTATTTTAGCCAAGTCTACAAAACAAACAAAAAAGTTACCTCCGTCTCAGACAAATCAAGTCTCTAAATCCCCAGACCAAAGTGACTTCTGTGTGCATGAATGGCAAAGAATTCTTGAGAATCTCAATAAAAGTTACATTTTCCCTTTGATGGGTGGGATTGGAAAGGAAGGGGAATGTGTGACCATTCATCACAGCTCCAGGCTCCTTAGTACCCAGGAACTTTCTACTCTAAATGACAAAGAGTTTCACTGTCACCAAAGAGAAATTGCTGCTGACCTTAGACCTCTTTTTAGAAAGTAAAATAATGGAGCGCAGGAGCAGAGTTTGATATTTGACCGAATTCTACACAATTATCATGCATGTGTATATAATAAAATTAATTCTGTGTCTCTGCATTGTAGCCTCCGGCAAGCAGCGTACAATCAGTTTTGTATGTATAATAGATCACAGAGTTGTTCATGAATAATACAAATGCATTGAGCAGATACTAGTGAGTGAGGATGTTTGTCTTTGCATGGAATCGAAGTGAACATGTAATATTGTGATAATATATATTTGATGAATTCAGGTCTGACTTGCCTTTGCCATAGCCTGCTAATTCCCCGACAAGGGTTGCCACAATAATTGAGTTTCCAATAACATTATGATTATTTCCACATGATAATTTAATTGTAGGTATTTTTTAATATTGTAATAATGTAGATTTGTGATTATTATGCATTTGCATGCAGATTTTCATGGTGTCTCGGAGCACATCCCTACATTTATAACTTAATTTCCTATATTATTGCATATATATTTTGGGATGAACTCATTAATGCAAACAAAAAAAAGTAGGTCTTTTTGGTCATTTTGCCTTTATTATAAATGGCTGAAAGCTTTGCTCATTTTTTTAGACCAGTCTAAACAAGTGAATAAACAAAAGATAACTGTAATTCATGGATGGATTAATTTAAAATAATAATGTAATTACAAATCATGGCAGATTTGTCTGAGGTAATTGGGATGTAGACTGGTACAAATTTTGCTTTACTAAAAAAAGCTTGTTTAAATGAATCACCAAGTTTAGTAGAGGATGTTTTCTATTCTTCCAAATCTGCTATATAACATGATGGCAAAGTAACACTGGCTCAAAATTCATGAGTGCCTGTTCAAATGGGTATAACAACATGGAAGCTGGAACATCTGTACCTAGCTAGATATTATTTTGGCAAGTAAAAGTAAGAGTAGAAATGTATATTCAGTCATGACTCTGGCAGGGATTTTAGTGAGTTAAATTGTCCAATCTGGAAAGAGGTTGGTTGGTTGCTTGATAACAACCTTCAAACTACATTAGAAAACCTTGCCTGAAATTTGGTGGGACAAAGGGAGGTAGAAGTAAACTCTGTTCCCATTAATTGGAGTAGATATTTGTATGATCTTGTGAGCATTCTGCTTCAAATCAGAGAGCTCTCTTGCAGGCATATGGAAAATTCAAAGAGGAGAAAGTGTCTTTAGCTAAATACTTCTGTTTTGAAAAGAAATTCCCAGAGAAAGTGACACAGGCTTTGGGTATTGCTCATTTTTCTAGTACATGTAGTTGGAGGAATGTTCACCTTTTATCTGTAAAATCTCAGCTCTGCAAATTGAACTCACAACAGAGTTCTTGGTCTATCTCTCACTGTCAGGTTGGTTTTCCATTGCCTGCATGACAGGAACATGCAATAGGAACTCGGCGATAAGTCCTGGTCCAAATCTTCCGACATGGAAGTTTAAAACTAGGGGCTGGAATATATAACTTTCTGCTGTCCTTTCACATTGTTTCACACTCAGTGCACATTGGTGCTATTGCTTCTAGTGTAGTTTGCTGCTTGGTTTCTACTTTCAAACATGCTCCTCTAAATTAACAACAGAAAAGACACAATGAGATTATGACCCTTGTCTTTCATCTTTCCTTGTTCTGTGGGCTTAAGCAGAAAAGTGTAATCCTGATTTAGGCAGTGAAGAGAGCAGTCATGATTCTGTAGTATAAGATGGTCTCTCTAGGTTTTGCAGCAGAATGACTTCTTGTATAGGTAAATTAGATTCTGTCCTGAAACCCATTTGATCCAAGTCTTTTGTAAACTCTTTATCTCACTAAGAAGCACCTTGGCAACTGAGTCCACTAGAAGCTGTAAAAGTATCAAAACACAAAGGTGGTCCAATTGGCAGAAGTCCAAAAATCTGTACCTGTCCCTTGCTGAGATCAAGTGATAGTTCAACACAGGGGATCTGGAAGGTTGGTCTAACTGCTATTTTTTTGGTAAGGGACCACCAGCATAAAATTAAGTATGTCTTTTACCCTGTTGCATTAGATCTTAAATGATCTCAGGTGTTATTTGCCACACGTAAAGTACCATAGAATATAAACATATAATTCTCTCTGTCAGTCCTGCAATTTATAATCCTTCTTGCCATGGAGAAACCTGATGTTGTTTCAGATACAAGATTATTTATACTTGGAAGATTGTCTTCATTACTGTATATTCCTGATGTTACTTATACGGATATGATAGGTAGGTGTACATAAAACTAGAAACAAGCCTGTTGAAAAGCACTGATTCATGTCATAGTCGTGAGCAATTTTCTCTGATGAAAGAAATTGAGACAAAAATTTTATAATACAGTGAATGTAGCTGCCCTGCCTCTCAACCATTCCAGCATCACAGAGGTTAGGCCTTGGAAGAGCTCAGTTCCTTTTCTACCTTTACCTGATGGGTTCTGAACTTGAGTCAGAATTGCTCTAATATTTTAAATTGGAGAAAATGATGTGTGGAGCTTCTCAGCCTTTCCTATTAGTGCTCCTCTCATTATGTAAAAAACCTCAATGATCAATAAGGTCCCTTCTAACCCAAACCGATCTATGATTCCATGTTTTTGCTTTACTCACAGTATGTGACAAGGATATGTTTAATTTCAGGTCACTTGGAAAGAAGGCTTCTTTTGACACAAAATCATTTGTTGTTGCTGTTTTGTTCTTCAGCTGAAGGGAAAAAAAAAGCCCACCTTCAGTTTTCTTGCAATTGTTTTTTTCCATTTGTAGGTGTAGGCGGTGGGACCACGTAATTTCTGCATGAGGCAGGGGGTACATTCTCTTGTGCACAGACCAACATTTCCCAGCTTATTTTTAAGGAAAGCGTTCTTCAAAAATAATTTAAGTAAGGAGGTATTTATGTATTGCCCATCCTGTGCTTGAAAAATTCATGGTTCATGGCCACTAGTGGTTCTTCTCGTACTGGGGAAGGTTTATTGGCCATAATCCTGGAAGTCTGGCAGTCTCTTGTGTGTCAAATGATCACTGATTGTATTGGAAAAGGATGCTTCAGTGACAGCAGGCAGCCCCTGGGCAGAAAGAGGTGTCCCTTGTCCCTGAGCAATAACCTGTATGGATGATTGAGACTTGTTGATAGACCTCCATGGAAGTCTTACCTAGTAGTAAGAGCTTAGCAGTCTCTGACTTAGTGAAGGATCTCTCAGTACAGCATGCTTGAACTTGATTTGTTACTCTCATCAAGAGGGTATAAAGGTAGGCAAAAACTGAACATGCCTTCAGGCCCAGGCAGATGCAGTTTTTCCACAGCCTCTGTCTTATGGGAGGGAAAGAAAGAGAAGGCTGCTAGAATTTACAAAATATAGTTATTGACTAATTTCTTCATCAGCAAGAGCTGTAAGAAATCAGTAAAATCTCTCCTGAGAGATCAGTGGTGTCACCTCACATGTCCTCAGGGTGCCAAATGGTATAAAACACTCACTTTGAAAGTACTGCACCGTGATAGGCTTTAACTCCCAAGGGATGCATTGTGTGTACATTTTGTTATATGTAATGACACACTGAAAGGGCAGTGAAGCTGTTAAGGGAACACTGCATGTCTAAAAAGAACTTATTTTTCTTTCAACCAATAAAAGAAGGAAAGACTCTTTCAGAAAAGCAGTTAAAATAATATCATTTAAATGTAAGAAGTGATAAAATACCAGAGAGAATTCACTTGTCAGATGAAGAAATTCAAAATATGAAGTCTTCTGTGTAACATACACATTTCAAATTGGACCATTTTCCTGATAAGGCAATAGTACTCTGCCAAAAGCTTTTAAAACAGTTGATATATATATACAAAATTTTAAGACTGACACAACCAGCACAATGGCAACAATTATTTAGAACAGATTTGAAGAATAAAGGAAAAGAATGTAATGTCATGTAGTCATTCTAGACAATGTATGAGAGGCTGTGATATTCAACAAGACCAAAGTTGGATGTGAGACTCTGGGAGTTTTTCAGCAAAGGTGATTTTGTGGAAATACAGTTCAGTGCATATAAAAAATACCCTAGAGATGACTGCAATGCTAACAACAATATTTTGAAACAAAGCTAAAAAAGACTCATGTTCCCTTCAATGTAATTCCATGTGGACATATTCAAAAATTCTGTACAGCCTCAGTGTGTTGGGGCCTATTTTCCAGTAGAAATACTTTTACCTACAAAACATATGGAAATATACGTGAATGTTTTCATTTATTTCCAACACAGAAGTAGTTGCCTTCCTTAAACTTGACACGGAATGAAATCTGACTATATGAAATCCAAGTCAGCAAGGTGACAAAAATTGGGCAAATGCATTTCTATTTAACTTTAAACATGAAATTAAAATTGGACAAATAATACATTTGATAATATTTAGAAATAAAAATAGACTTGTAAAAAATAGAAAAATGAATTGGATAGGATGGTGCAGTTGCGTCTATTCTTACCTCAGTCCCATCAATCACTGTCAGTTAATTATCATTAAGACTGCATAAAAAAGGTCCCTGTGAGAGTTGGATAGGCTGTGAGTTTCATTCTTTCATTAAAAACAAGATAAACAATATAAGCCTTGTTTTATTTTTTGGTTTTGTTTGTTTTGTTTTGTTTTGTTTTATTTGGGTTTTTTTGTATTCAAAGAAATTATGTGGAAAGGTGAATTGTGAATAATTGTGCTGAAAGTTACCATATGGATTGCAGAGACAAGGTAATGAAACAAGGGATTCAATATAAAGTTGGTTCTTGTCAGGAAAATTTTAAAGATTTTAAATTTCTTTCTTTTTTTCTTTTTTCTTTCCTTCCAAAATCCAATAGAATTTCCCTTTCTAATGAGCAAAACTTGTAGGATTTTTAAAAGAAATGCTTGCTTTTTAATTAGCTATGCTGTTTTTACATCACCAGGGTTTATACGTGTAGTTTGAAAATCTTCTTTTTCAAAAAAAGTGTCTAAAATCCAAAGTCACATGACTCCAAAAGGTGATTCTCTGACAGAACACAAACCAGCATGAAACTCACTATGAGTTGAGAATACAGAAATTTTTGGACCTTGTGAGTTGATCTGTTGGGCTCAGTTCATAAGCACTTAGATAATGACCAAAACAGGAAGGAAGCAGTGGGCAGGAGCAGCTACTATTATTTCCAGAGTGCATCCTTGCATTGCTGAATAGCAGTTCACACTGTTAAAAGTGTCAAGGTTTATCCATAGCACTCACCAGCATCCCAAACAAGGGCTGGTACCTGAGCTCTGTGAAACTTCTGACTTTGATATAAAATTGTTTCTGCCAGCTTGTGCTTGATCAGCCTAAGGATCACAAGGCTCTCCTGGCCAAGCACTCTCTCTGCAAAAGGTGGCTATAGAGATTCAACTAAGCTAAACTTAGTTAATTTTATACACTTACATAAATTTATATAACTAGAACATTAATATATCTTACAAGTTTTTTATTGGTATTATTTTTATCAATTTATATAGATATATAAATTTATACTAATTTATATAAATAAAATAACACGTATTTTTTGCATCTTTGAATAATTATTTATCATGGGAAAACATTTGTTTTATAGGCAGTATCTTTTGTTTACTTATTGGGATTTGGATTTGTTTTTTTTAAGTGAGGCTTCATTGTTAACTCTTTTTTTCCCCCTGTGCCTTCAGAACAAGAGCAATTTGAAGAATGAAGCCTTCAGGGCCAAGTGCCTCTCTGTTAAGCAAAACAATAATGAAAACAAACCTCAAACCTTGTAATTGGAATTAGCCACATTTTGGGCAATTGCTCAAATAAGCCTCTGAGCTGGAGTCACCTAAATGCAAGTTTTCCCACACAGATGTCAAAGAAGCAAAAGGCCTGTAAATGTCACAACTTTAAACCAAAATGAAGTCTTTAACACTGCTGAGAAATGGTTTCTAATGAGGACAAATGACTGACTTAAACTAGAGCTAAGCTGTCCTATTTAGGGCTCTTCAGGCTGAAGGCAGCCCATTAGGACAATTCATCTGCTCCTTGTCGACCTCCTTGTCCTCCTGGGAAAGCCTCTTTGCCCATACCCAGACTGCAGGCTGCACTTGGGGTGTGATGGGCAGCCAGATGGTCACAAGTTAGAGACCTGTGTTCAGATCAGGTCAGGCAACTCACATTGTCCATGCATCCTGTTTTATTTTACTGGGTGTATTCTGACGTGTCAGGAAAGATTATGCTTTGGGTAGAACCTTACCAAGTAAGCTCATTTTTACTCCCATATCTTTGCTCCATCCTGAGTTGAGTTTCTTCATTCTTACTTAGTTATTGGAGAAGGAAGGTCCTCCAATGCCAATTTTATTTTGCAAGGTTGGACCAATGTTAGCATGTCTGTAAACTAGTAGAAAGGGGAATTAGGCCATAGCAGAAAGGGACAGTGCATCTTGAAAGAAAACTAAGACTGAAACTCCAACCTCTTCTAATTTACATATGGTGACATTTTGCAGAAATATTGTAACATTAGCAGTGGCATAATGAAATTCTGCCTATCAGCCGTGGAAGGAATAATGTTACTGTAAAGGTAACCTGTCCACGGTTTGTTATCAAGGAAATATTCATGGCAAGAAAAGTACATATACCAATGAGTGTTAAGAACAGTAGTTTTTCCTTATATTTTTTCCTCATGGGCTATCCATCTTCCCCTCCAGATTTACTGCATGATCACTCCCTTTACATGCTAATTATGTGCAGCTCTGGTGAATTTGTTAGTAGTGACACTTTGAGCACCCAGTGGGACTGCAACTCATTATGTGGCAATGTCCAGATATATCAGATATTATTAGCTGTCATTAATCTGCTGTGGAAACATTGAGTGCACAGCCAGGAGAGAGACCAGGAAATAGAGTAAAAATGAAGTCTGCAGCCACCCTGGCCCCCAGAAGGTCAGAGGGCAAATCAGCAGGGGAGAAGAATACACCTTAAAATGGCCAGTGCTTAGCAGCAGATTTTTAACCCATTGTAAACCAGTATTTCTAAGAAGAGGAAAGACAGAAAGAAACTACACTGATTGTAGTGTCCGTTTGGCTATGCTTTACAGGTGGAAACAGGAATACAGCATCTCAAACTGTCTTTTTTTATAAGTTATTTTCTACAACTGAATCACATCAATAAGAGTGTGTGAATAGGAAGAAGAGAGAGCAACACGCAGTATCTCTCTCAGTGTGGATAGCCCTCAGGCATAAAGCTTTGAAATTATGCACGTGTAACTTTGAATAGGATTAGGCTTCCCCTCCATTTGAAGGTCATATTTTATAGAACTGGATGTGGTAGTAGAGAAAATCCCACAGAAATGGAGAGGTTGCTCTCCCTGTTCATTCAGTCCTGGAATTTGTCTGTATAAGTGCAGGAGTTTGCTTCTAGACTGCAAATGCAGAGCTGATCAGCCTCTGTTTTTCAGAAGTGGTGCTAAAAATGCAGCCTACTGTGATTTGTGTTTTTAAGCTGCATAACAGTAACTGTTGAGAGTTATGCATATGTGTACTTGTGCAGCATTTATTACATCTGCTTGGAGTACAGAAACAAAAATGAAAGATTCTTCCCAGAAAACTCCATAGTCTTTGTGATCTCCAAGATGACTTGCAGAGTACTGCCCAGGACTGTAAGAAGAAACATTTTCTTTCTTTACACCAGCTAAAGAGGCTGAAAGAATCCAGTCAGGCTTCAAGACAAGTCTTCTCTGGTCTGAAATTAAACAGAAAACACCAAAGTAGAGGTTAGGAATCTCTGAGTTTAGTGGTGATATATCTATTACCCAGACAATTTTCAGAGTGGGGGAAAGGTAGTAGGTTGGTTAGTCTGTATGTGTCGGTAACTTACAGGTGCCTTTTGCTATTATCAAAGGGCACTCTGAAAACTCAGTGACCTTAAAATAAAAGTAAATAATAAGATAGGGAGATTTGAAATAGAAAAACCTACATTTTATCAAAGAAAGTAAAAGTAATCTTATGTTTCCAAGGTTACAAGGACCTTATCTAGAAGTTGCAGTGTTTTTGTTAGAAGGTTTATACAAAAACTAAAGACAAGAAATCATCCTAAAATTCTTCAAAAAATGACAGCTTATAATTGTTCAGGGAAGCTGGAGTGAAGTTCTTCATCCAGTTGCTTAGAAATTTCCCAGTGAGCCACCCATCTGAGTTCCTGAAGGAATTTGGTAAGTACTGGTTTTACTCCCATTAAAGGGGCCTATTCTCATGCTTCACAGTTTTTCAGATATTATGACATTTGTGTGATCTAATCCTGTCACAAGGAGGGTAATAACAGGGGAAAAAAAAGGCTGGATGTTTTATTTATGAACCTGTCTTCAACTAGACAGCCTCTGATAAACCCATGCAAAAACAACCACCATGGTTAAGCTTTAGGTTGTCTTAAATTCTGCACAATCCTCATGAATAGAAAATAACGTTAGAATTTGTTGAAATGGCTCCCATTAATACTTCCCAAACTAACAGCTATTCATGAACTCAGGTTCTAGGAAAAGATTTAAAAGTCATTTTGGTGTAATTGTGGGGTTTGCAGAAATATCCTGAAGTGCTAGGAAGAGCAGTGTTAGTTAGCAATGGGGCAGGTGGTGAGTACCCAGGGAAATAAAGAAGAAGCACTTTTATCATTGGTCTTGAACCTTTGCAATTTGGTGTTCAGGAGGATTAGTTTATTTTTATGTGAGAACAATGTGATATCAAGGAAGAGTTACAGTCCAATGGCACGAATGCAGACAAAAAAAGCTTGAAAGCCATTCTGAGTGCCCTATGAATACATTCAATAAGTTGGTCATAGATTCTTTTTAAGTCTTTCTCTAGTGTTTATAAAGTTCTACAATTGTGGCATACCTTGCCCTTTTTCCAGGACAGGGGAATAAAAATTTATTCCAGTTTCTTTTTTCTTTGAGTTCTTTGGGTAACTGAACATGAGGTGAATACTCTTTAAGCAGTAGGTTAACGAGTTACAGGTCAGGCTTACAGTGGAAAAATTGCAGTCAGCCTCTGTGGTTCTGTATTTGCCAAATTTGCACTGATGAAGTTATTATGGTAGGCTCACTTTTTTTTTTTTTACTTACTTTTTTTTTTCTTTTTTTTTCCCACATGGAGGAATATGTTTATTATTTGCCCATCAAGATTATGCTGTCTTTTCAGTGCCTGTGTTGCTCCTTAAATCCTGCAGGCACTTATTTTCACATTTAACATGATACGCATGAGTAAGCCTCTCTCAACTGGTAGAACTAGTCAGGTGTAAAACTCTCATGTGTGTACTCTGCAGGGCTGGGACCCAAGCAAATACACACAACACGAAAGTGTGTTATATTTTACAGAACTCCATCATTTCATATTCCACTGTTTGTAACAAGATGAAGAGTTAGGTCTTATCTAGAGAGTCCTGTATCAGCAATGCTAACAAAGATATCTGCACAGCTGTCTTTGATATTTATTGTACTGAATTGGTGCACTAAGTTCAGTCTTTTAAAAGATGATAAATATATATACTCTTCAGTATATATATGCACAGAATTGTTTTCAAAGTAAAATCCTAGGGACAGGTTTAAAAAGATTGTAAGTTGTAACATAATGGGAGAAGGCCATCACCCTGAATTTGAAGTGTGGAAAGTGCTGGAATTCTCTTTACCTTGAGACTCAGAAAATTCAGAAGTAGAGTGTAAAAAACCCTAGCAGCAATTTTATCTTCTTGGACAAGCATGAATACCTTTAGGAATATCCTACTGAATATGATTTTTTTTCATTATCTGCTTTGTAAAAGCTAATCATAGTTATAGATTTATAGTGTATAAAGTGGGAAAAGTTAGTTGTAATTAAGACTATATTCATCTTTCAGAAAGTTAAAAGTGGCATCAGCTCTGAACTGATATATCTGCCCAGGAGCTGCCTGTGAGCTGTTAGATCATTTGCTAATACTGTCAGAGGCTGTGGGAGGGCTATGCCTCCTGAATTTTAGGGTCACGACATCAACATCTGATTCTGCAATTCCTCTGCAAATGCCTGCAAGTGGCAGGGTTCTGTCACAGCCCTGCTCTTCTTACCTCATGCAGCACTTTATAGCATGCAACACTGCCTGCACAGTAAGTGGTAAGTGTCATAAATTACCCCACTTCATGTAAAGGGCAATCACTGCTTAGAGTGATTCGCTGTTTTTGTGATGTTTGCTAGCTGAAAATGTAAGGAGAGATGAGTCTAAGTTTAGACTCATTGCAGTTTTCCAGATGTTTCCTGGTCATTTATTCATTATCGTCGTCACTCATTTGGATGACTTAGACTCTCAGAATAAGGTACTAGTCAGCGTGAGTGAAGAGGGGAGAATCTGACCTGAAATTACCAAGTTGTGAGTTGTTATTAACATTTTATTTAAAAGGATTCTGGTGTAGCTGAGACAGGAACAAGAAAATGCAACCAGAGCACTAATACCACCAAAGCTCAGGGCAATGTTTCAAGGCCACTTCTTGAAAAATCTAAAGATTTTTACTGTATTTTCCAAAGTCACGGATGTTTCTTATAATTGCTAATATTTTTATTTCATTAGCACTAAAAGAATGGAAATCAGAGCTCTTTTGCTGTTTTTCTATCTAGAAATAAAGGAGTATTTTGAGGCCCTCTCCCCCCAAAAAAAAAAATCAACCAACTTAAATGGATAAAACAGATTTAAGAGAGACTTTTTAAAGTGTGTGGAATGACAAACATTTGAGAATTCATGTTTCACCACCAGAAATCATTACAGAACTTGTGTTGCACATGTCTATGCATGTGTCTGTCTGTTTACATGTGCATAAAATACATATCACTGGATCAAGAGTGAATAACAATTTGACGAGCCTCCACCAGAGAGTTGTAACTGTTAATTCAGATAGAAACAAATTATTTCACAACAAAAAACAGATAAACAAACCTTTCAATTCACTTGAATTTCTTTTAGTGAGAAGTCATATTATGCAGTACCAAAACATAATAATTTCCTAGATTTATTATAATATGTTTCTAAACTCATAAGGTGTTTACTGAGGTTTAACTTCCTTAAAAGCATTGTGGCTATGCATTCAAATTTTCAGCCTTGTTTGCAGTGTTGTAGAATCAACTGCCTCTGGGAAAAAAAAAAAAAGAAAAAAACAAGCAAATCTCCCCCAAGCAACAAAAGACAAACAAACACAACTAGAAACTCCAAAATAAACAAAAAAAAAACACAGACAAAGTTTTTTCAGGAGAAAAAGATTTAGAAGTTTTTAGGGACTTTTTCTATTCCCCTTTACAAAAGCCAAGGTTCTGCCCTGGTGGCCTGAACCTGGATTAACCTAGAATAATGTTGCATTAGGTGGATGCTTCTTCTGGATGTGTTAAAGATCCTAGTGATTTCTCTCACTTTCTTCCTCCACTGTGTACCCAAATCTACACTTATTTTGACAGTGTCCCCCTTTGAACAGCTTTATATGATTGCTTCCACCCAAAGGTTACTTTATTCAAGTGGATTTGCCACAGAGCACTTGCCCATTAGCAATCTCTGCTGCAGCCTGCTTTAAAATCTGCTTATGGTTATGGCCAGATAAAAGCATGTGAGGTCAGTTTGGTAGAGCAGAGACAAATACTTTAACATAAGGTTTTCTATTCTGTGCAAGCAGCTAATAAAAGTGCCCGCAGGTGTTGAGAATTATCCTTCTCTTGGAGATTTCTTTGCAATCTGAACCTAATCTTGGCAAAAGCTTTGGCGAGGATATCTGGCACATTAATTAAATTACTTTCCCACCCCCACAGGTCTTATGCTGTAACTTTGATTAACCACCTCTGTGCCCAGGATACAAACTGCAGGATAGACATTATCAGTTTTGCAGGTGTATGGATGTTAGAGATAACATGGGATTCCTTCTTTATCTGGATGGATGCTCCTTACTGTTTCAACACTACACAGCTTTTCCTTTAGCTCCCGCTATGGGGATCCTGCAGGCATATTACAAGATTTTAGTATGAAGACCTTTTTATTCAATATGTATCTCTGGATGGCCTTTGCTGAGAAGTTTCAGGTCCTTAGGGGAAAATGTCTAACTCCTCCAAAGCTCCCCTTCTATTTAAATGGCTTTTCCTTGTTGCAGTATCACAGCTGTGACACATCAAAGCTAGTAGCTGGTGTGGCAGGACATGCGTTCCCAAATAAGCCTCAGTGACGAAAGGTGATTTGCAGTGACAGGTTTCATATCTTACGGTGTCATTTTCATGAATGACTTGGTTAATTAAATTTAATGTGGAACAAGAGCTTGCTTACATTCTGCCAGGCTTAAGATGTTCTTACTCACACCTTACTTAAGGAACAATTCCTACTGTTGAATAAGGGTTCCAGGATTTAGCCCTCTGTTAGCAGTCTTCCATAAACCCTTTGTTTTCCTAACATGTTAAAAACCAAGGCTTAATGGGTTCATGATGACATCAGTTATCAAGATTTGTGTGGTGTTGGCAGATGTTGAATTTTCAGTGGAAAACCATTAAACAGATTTGAGTCAGGGCAAGTTTCATAACATGCAAGTATTATACCGGTGGTTACATGTGTTGACTTCAGCTTTATTTATTACAAAAGAAAACAGGCCTGTACTTATACAACAACAGCAATGAGAAATTAATCTTCCGAATAGGAAAATCAGTCTTGTCTTGTTAAAGGTACTCAAAGTTACTTATTGAGCATGCTGAGTTTGCAAAAAA